TGTTTATTCTTCTATATTATTGATTCTACTTCCTGAGTGACTGGTCAGAACTGTCTTTGCAAACTGCGAATCGGTGTGGCTCGCTAAGGGCATCGATGAAAAATACATTTTTGTGGTCAAAATGTGGGACAGAGATCTGTGATCGAAAGACATTTTATGATTTGACGAATAAACATAATAAATTGGTGAGCTGCGTTTCTTATAACACAACAGTTACAGTCTCAGTCCATTCTGTTGACTGGAAGATATGTTGTTCTCGATCAAGTATGATTCAACGTTGATTGCTGTAAACTTAGGAAACTGATAGAAGCTCATTGTTTACATGTTTAAGGAAAAAATCAGGAACGAAATTGATCACTGTTCGGGTCGTGTCAACACCGCCACGAACCAACGACCCGATTTCTATGGCGTATCCTTGCTCGAAGACGCCAGGTCCTGAAGGACTGGAACATGTTTCGATAAGTAAGTTCATCAGTTGGACAAAAAGACACCTACCATTCATTCCGTGGTTTCGAACTTCAACGTAACAAGTGAAACGGCAGATTGTTGACGTCTATTGATTGTGTGTTCAATTTTCCCATTCGAAATGAGACCTAATTTTCAGGTAAAACAAGTGCACTTCACTTCGTGTGTTTAAATAACGGAGAAATCAGAAATATATTGTAAACAATTAAAGATAGTCAAAGGAAGTGACTATTGATTTGCTACGCAGAGCTTGCAGTAACGCTCAAGAGAAAGTATTTTGAAATCACCGGGAACTGTTAGATCTCTCCTTCGAGGCAAGTGTATGTAGTGCAAATTTGACCTTGAACTCAAGGTAACGGAGAGACCCTAAAATGCATATATTAATATTATCTTAATCATTAATGGTTGGTAAAACTCATTCGTCCTTCTTAGCTTCAAATCGTTTATGGTTGTTTGTGACAAATGTTAATTTTCGAGAAAAATTACCTTCGCGTCCTAAACTTTAATTAATTATTTTATGTACTGGAGTTTGGAAGTAAATTACAATTTGAAATATTACGGCACTACCGCATGTTATGCAGTATATGCTCACTGAGGAGCATGACAAATGTCAGATAATATCTGGAATATCGGATTTCACGGTGTGCTGCGGCGGGTTGAACTTGGTTCATTTCACTGGCAGATTTGATTTTGGACCCGTCATTCATTGTTAGACATTAATTCCTGTACTAACAGCTTATGATGATATTGCAGTAGCATATATGATATAATACTTGTTGAAATGTTGGAGTGATTTCGAGGTGTCGAAATGGAATAAACTACTGGGAGGCACATCGGTCACTGCAGGATCCGAAAGACAAGACAAAGGTTTGGAACGAGAAACAAGAGAGAAATGCAAGGCGTTGTGAAACACGGTCTTGAATGACTCATTCCTGAATGTTAGTTATATTGCATGTGCAACATATGATATAAACTTTATATACACCTATATTCTATACTTACAACTAACTTTTTATAGTTATATTCTAGTTTACATCTATAATCTATTTTGTGAACTACTATGACGTGAAATTGAACAGTGACGATTTAATTTAAAACTTCTACCGCAGTTGCACCGGATACTTGTTTGCGGAAGACATTTGTTTTTAACTGGTAGACTGCCTTTGGACAGAAATTTTATCACTTAACGTTTCAGCGAAATTAAATCTATTAATTACATTGATCACTTGATCACTTGTGTTCTCTGCTTTAATTGGAACACGAAGACCGTTGCTGAATATTCTTCTCTTTCAGAATCTATCCCATCCAAAATTAATCAGAAGTCCGGCAAGTACAGAGCGACCTTTAACGATCACCAGCACCGTCGTTTACCAAAGAACTGTTCTCAGAAACAATTTTACACTGAGTTGATAGAGCTGGAGTCGAAGGAACTTTTTCCACGAAATTCGACGCACCATATGGCAATGGTTACGAATCTAATGATCAAGTAAGTGTTTTCATTGAACGCGGCTGTTTTTGAGGTGGTTGCTTGTTGCTGTACAATTTCTGAGTTATTAGGTTCATTGCTGGAAATACGTTCTGTCGAAAAAGAGTCATATTTCTGTGAGGTGATATTCAACTTTGTCAAATTCTAATTGTGCTATTGCTATGTCTTTCAAAATTGTATTT